TACTCTTTGCAACATTTCGACCATCTATCATGATGCTTGTCAAGCTTAATTTGAAGATCCTGTATTCCTGATCTTTTTTTATGATGGACTAACGGAGAACTCCTGCAAAGGTCTGCCTCCACACAGTCACGTAACTAGATGGAGATCAGCCCGTTCTGTAGATATGTACATCTCCTTCTGATGTTTGGTTAAATACTTGAATATGATTGGATCCACTAGGCAGCGGCCAACCTCCCTCACTTCCGCTACTTCATGTCATTGGCTGAGCTTGGTGCCAATTAAGAGGAATATACCTACGTCATAGAGGTGCCTTAGCTGATTGGTTGGTTGTTCAGCAAAATCTCACCGCCGTGTAGGTAGGATTGTGTTCACCATGTTGGATCAAGTGCAGCTCCTGTTTACCTTCTGATCAGCTGGATCATGGCAGCGGAGTTCCAGCGGGCCGCAGTGTGAAGGAGCCGCTGCCTGGCTGCCGACTGACAGCGGCGAGCCTCCACAAACAACCGGAGAAGCAGGAGAAGCAGCGGGAGGAGGAGGAGATGAGGCTACCCGCTCTGTTAGCTAGCTCCGAGCTGTCAGGTTGAGAAGCTGTCGTCTTCACTTTGGCAGCAGGGATATTTATCTAACATTAAAGCTGAACTTTTCTTCGCATTTCAATCTCGTCTCTTTCGGTTCTTATTCCTTTTTAATCAGAGCGGAAGTCCCTAAAAACAAGGGTTCCGTCGGCGGATCTTGTCATCTGGAAGGAACTGAGGGTTTGGGCTGAAATGCTGAGAGAAACGGTGGAGATGACGGAGGTTTGTGTCTGAGCAAACTGCTCCATGGATGGATGGCGGCGGCCTGGGCCTGCCTGCCTGCCTGCGTCTGCTCTCCGATTATCGCCTTAGCGGGGATACACCCCCTCTGCACCGGATCTGCGCCGTTAATCACGGCTCGGAGATTACCTCTGGTTACGGAATAGCTGGCTGGCCTGCGCGCAGATAGAGAGAGGACTCCGTTTGGTTCAGCAGAAGCGCTTTCCTGGCTGTTTGGAGCCGCTCTATGGGAGGGTTTGCGGCGCTGGGAAGAACTTTTTCAGCTGAACGCTCATGTGACAGGATTTAGATCCGCGTGTGGAGCTTTCAGTGCGGGTAGGCTGTGCGATGGGGGCATCAGAGGCCACTAACTTCCTTTATTCTGGGGGGTTCGGCCTTATTTCTACTCTGATTTAACTTTAACTTCATAAAACCGATGGTTTGCAAGCGAGAATTTAGTTTTAGATGAAGTTAAAGCAGATGTTGCATTATGATAAACAGTCCTGCCAACTGTTTTCATGACATTTTCTATGAAGTTTTAAAGTTTGAAAGTCATTTAAAGCTGTTTGATGGTTCTGATAAGTTCTTCTAACTGTGAGGCTGCAGCCTGGTAGCCTTCATCTCCATCCTCTGGTCCTTTGAATGACTGAATGGCTCTTTGCAGCACAACTGCCACAAGTGCGAAAATGATGGCTGCTTACAACGGAGGCTCTTCAGCAGTAGGGGCCCATCACCACCACCAGCTGCAGCACCTCCCGCCTCCTCACATGCATCACCACCACCACCACCACCATGCAGGGCAGCATCACTTGCAGCACCCGGGCTCCGCTGCAGCTGTGCGCACCGTGCAGCAGCACACATCCACTGCTGCCGCTGCAGCAGTGATGCTCAATCCGGGCCAGCAGCAGCCCTACTTTCCCTCTCCTGCTCCTGGACAAGCTCCAGGACCTGCTTCAGCCGCAGCTCCAGCCCAGGTTCAAGCTGCTGCCGCTGCTGTCAAATCTCACCACCACCATCATCACCATCAGCAACAGCAGCAAAACACACACCACCTTCAGCCGCAACTGGACATAGAGCCTGATAGGCCCATCGGCTATGGTGCTTTTGGGGTAGTCTGGTAAGTACTCAATGCTAAGTTTCTTTACATACTGTAAAATACTCTCTAGCTATCTGTCTTCAGATGAGTGTGAAGGTCCTTCTGAAATACTAAAATGACTCTCATAGATGATCACTTCTCTTTAAAACTTAGAAACTATTGTGAACTGTATCAGGGACGGATTTAGGAAATGTGGGGCCCTAGGCAAAGACAGGCAGGGGGCCCTCTGAATGGAGAAGACAACACATAAAACAGACCCATTCTACAGATAGAGAAATGTTAATAGAATAGACATCCATTATCTGTTCTAGGTTTTGTCCCTCTCTTCTTGTCCCTTTTCTTCTTGTTTTCCTCTCTATGTTTTGTACCCAGCTTACTTTTCATGCTGTCTCTAAAGGAATGAAAGATTTTTTCCAAGCACTTAGCTGATTGCTCCTTCCTGTGTTTCCAAAAAGGCCAAAGTAAATAACCCAGTCCTTCTTTTCACTGTAGA